TCTTCTGTCAAGTCTCTTAGATGTGCTAATAAACTGGACTGTGGAGTATTTCTGGTGTAGATGGTTTCTAAAAGGGATTGGATAAATTCATGGAGGACAGGCCTATTGAGGCTAATAGTCTGAACAGTGATTTTTTTGCTTTGGTTTGGGGAGAGCCTGTTTTGTTCTATCAGTTGCAAGAAAACATGAGAGCGCAAGGTTTTTTTTATTGGGGTCGGCTGCTGGGGGTTAGCAGGGGTTTTGGAGAGCCCCTAGCTAAGATTCTATGCAGTTTGTAGAACCCTCAAATCCCACTCATGGCTGTCCCCAGGCCCTCCCTGCCTTGCCCCTCCCAGGAGTCCATATGCAGCCCATTTTTGAAGCCCACCCCTGATTTTTATCACCTGTTGGTGATCACTCCAGCTGCTGTGAGAAATAAAATGGACTAACCTGAGTCTTGCTCTAATCAAGTAGGGCTGTTCTTATATTAATTAGCCTTCCTTCAGAGATGGAGAAGCAATGGTCTTTATTTCCAAATTAACTACAGAAAAAAATATTTGCTTGATTCAAATATCTCTACAGCAAATAGAGTTGGGAAGTGAGGTAATACCATGAGGCAAGCTTTATACATTTCAATCACAATTCTTTGATAATATAGAGCCACAATGAGGCTAGATGATCATTTAGAGGGTTGATTACAGCTTAAAAAAAAAACACTTTAAAACAACACTGTGAAGATGATGAGCAATTAAGAAAGGTTTAATGTGATTGCCATTTGATTCAGCTTCTCATTGCATCAGTGTGCATATTTCTCCATTTGGGGATATTTATGCACAAAAATACTACAGGGAAAAATTGAACTGGAAAACAGTAACTGTAAAATTTAGTTTCTTAATTGGTTGCAACTTGCTCCCCAAAAGAAAATATATAATTAGGAATTTAAACACATTTGCACATTTCTATTGATTTTACGGTTCTTGTGTAATGAAAATGGGAAATTCAGAATGGATCACATAAACCGATTAAGTTTGTTGTCTCTTTAATCCGAAATCATTATTCAATTCCTCCAATCAAGCAGTTGAATTCACACCATTTTTCTTCTCTGGTCTGAAGCTTGTATGTTATTTCTTAAACCTGATAAATGCATTGCCTCAAATAGAGATTGAATTTTTCTCATAGCCGATGTATCTGCTTTTGCCTTTGCAATTCTATAAATTAGCATGGGTGCATAGATGTGCATTTATACACATAATTTCTTATTTTTTCTCACTTGCATTTAGATACATCAGCTGTATCTATTTGACTAGAAAGGTGATGTAGAAATAAAATTTAAAAATAAAATAAAATTTGGAGGGCGGAGCTGGTGTCGCGACAATACGGCATACGATCTTGGAGGTCTGAGATCGCTGCAGATATCTTTGCTCCTGGACGGTCCAATTGGATCTAAACCATTCCGAAGAGATGGTGAAAGTGAAGAGCACATCCTGTTGATCCCAGGGATTCTGCAAAGTCCCTGGTAGATCCAGGAGAAGCTCTTTTTGCTAGCGGCAAAGAAGCAGCCATTAAAGCTGCTGAAGTTGGGACAGCTCCGAAATGAAAGAGAACAGAAAGAGAGAGTGTGCCGGTTTGGTGAGAACTTTTTCTTTATTCTAAGATTTGAAAGGACACCGTAAGGAAAAGAAATAATCTGTAAAAGTTTTGACAGAAGTGATTAAGCAGTGATTTTAAATAGGAATGTCAAAGTAATCTTTTTATTTTTTTTTCTCATTGCTGGATTTTCTATACATGATCTTATATTTTGAAACTGGATTGGTTTTTTTCTCTTCTTTCATGTATTCTTTTTCTCCTTTTTCATTTTATAATATTTTAGGCTAGAGACTCCCTTTTAGTTATTTTTTTTTAAATATCTTTTTCATTTTTTAATTAATTCTTATTATATTTTGCTTGGAAAAGGAGGGGGAAAGTGAAAGCAAAAGAAACTTTGTAACACTGCCAACTAGAGGATTGGAAATATTCTATTTCTCTTTTGACCAGACAAAGCTGAGAAAGAACTGAGACTTCTTTTCAAGGACATTGCTATTTGATAAGATAGAGGGAAGAGCATGGGAGAGTATTATTGCAGGTGCTCTTCTGGGTTTCTATCAACATCTGGAGTCTGGTGTTGAAGCTTATTGGAAAACAGTACCTACAGAATACTAAGTTACCCCAGATACCTAAAGAGATTGAAACAATGTTAGAAAGCAATATAATGATGATGGAGTTAACTGAAGCACTCAAGAAGCAAAATAATGGAAAGGCACCAGGCTCAGATGGACTTCCGGCAGAATTTTACAAAACATTACAAGAATCGTTGAATCTTCCATTGCTAGAAGTTATGAATGAAGTTGTGTTAAAGAAGAGGATACCTAAATCATGGTCAGAAGCCTATACTACACTTATTCCAAAAGAGGAGGCCGACCCATTACAAATTAAGAACTATAGACCTATTTCCCTACTAAACGCAGATTATAAAATTTTTGCTTCAATATTGGCAGAAAGACTTAAAAAATACTTAAATAATTTTATCCATCCTGATCAAAATGGATTTCTGCCAAAGAGACAAATTAAAGACAATATGAGAGTACTCTTGGACACTTTGGAATACTACGAGGCACATCCTGAAAAACAAATGGCTCTGATATTTCTAGATGCACAGAAGGAATTTGATAATATGAATTGGCGATTCATGTTATTACTGCTGGAACAGATGGGCTTTGCTAGAAAATTTATTCAAGCAATAGAAGCTATATATCATAAGCAAATGGCAAAGGTAATGATAGAGGGAGAACTGACAGACTCTATCGATATAAGAAAAGGAACAAGACAAGCGTGTCCACTATCACCTCTGTTGTTTGTGTTAACTTTGGAAGTGCTAAATAGAAATAGTAGAGATGAAAAGAAATAAAAGGGATGAAAATTAAAAAGGAAGAATTTAAGTTGCAAGCATTTGCAGATGATCTGGTTTTTATCTTAGAAGACCCACTAGAAACAGCATCAAAATTGATAGAAAAGATAGAGACATATGGAAAGGTGGCTGGTTTGAAAATAAATAAAGATAAGACAAAGATCTTGACAAAGAATATGCTATCAAGACAAAAGGAAGAACTGGCAGACCTATTGAAAATTCAGGTCATGAATAAGATCAAGTACTTGGGGATATATTTGACAGCAAGATGCAGTACACTAAAAGAGAATAATTATATCAAACTTAAACAGCAGATAGCGCTAGATTTGGTGAAATGGGAAAATTTACAACTGTCATTAATAGGGAGAATATCAACAATCAAGATGAATATATTTCCCAGAATTTTATATTTGTTTCAAACAATTCCAATTAGGCTTGGGAAAGACTACTTTGAAGATTTAAATAAAATTGTGTTGAAATATATATAGCAAGGTAAGAAAGCGAGAATAAAGTTAAAACTTTTGCAAGATGCTAGAATAAGACGAGGATTTGGTTTGCCTAATTGGGAGTTTGTTTATTTATTTATTTATTTATTTATTTATTTGATTTGCCAATTGTTTACAAGATAATAAGTATAAATGTATACATAGTTGTGAATACATGAAATGGTTACATATAAGAAAAATAAAAGAATAGGAGAAACAATAGGACAGGGACGGTAGGCACGTTGGTGCGCTTATGCACGCAACAAATCTGATGTGGGTTAAGGAATGGATAACATTAAGAAATACTAGATTGTTGACATTAGAAGGACATGACCTGTTGTTGGGGTGGCATGCTTTTTTATGGTATAAAGGAACTAAAACACAAGGGGTACTTTAGAAGACATTATATACGGAAGTCTCTGTGGTTAAACTGGGAGAAGATTAAAAGACAATGTTATTTGAAAATTCCAGTCTGGCTATCGACTATTGAAGCATTTTCTTATCCTATAATATACAAAAAGGAACAAACAGTTAGATATGGTGAAATATTGAATGAAAAGGGTGAACTTAAATTTATACAAAAACTAGAGGAACAAGGTATAAAGATGAATTGGTTTTCATATGTGCAAATACATTCAAGGTATGATAAAGATTCTAAAACAGAAGGTTTCTATGATAAACTGATTGACTTAGATAAGATTTTGACAGGTACTGATGAAAAGGTGATTAAAAAATTGTATGGATATTTATTAGAAATTAAACTAGAAGAAGAACAAGTTAAAGAAACTGTGATTGCTTGGGGGAAGAATTTTGGATATGAGATTGATCTAGAGAAATGGCAAAAATTGTGGTCTCAAAATTATAAAATGACAATGTCAACAGCATATAAAGAAAATTTGTATAAGATGTTTTACAGGTGGCATTTCCCCCCGACAAGAATAGCAAGAATGTTCAAGAATAAATCCAAAAAATGTTGGAAATATCATCAGACACCTGGCTCATATTACCATATTACCGTCTCATATTACCAACTTGTGCGGATGCTAAAAAATACTGGACTAAATTCCACATGGAAAAAATGACAAAAAAACATATAGATTTGAAACCAGAGATATTTTTATTGGGAATTTTACCTGAAATATATAGTAAAGACTTGAAATATCTGATTGTAAATGTATTAACAGCGGCTGGGATTGTATTTGCTAAAAACTGGAAAAATGAGAAAACACCATCACAGGAGGAAATCATTAAGAAAATATTGGAATGTGCTGAAATGAGCAAATTGACATTTGAAATTAGAGAACAAGATAATAAACAATTTTATAAAATTTGGGATCTATTCTATCAATGGTTAGACAGTAAAATATAGTAATGAAATATGTAGACTTTTAGAAAATACTAAATATATAAAGATGTATTCTTTTCTTATTATATCTACAAAATGATTCTAGGATAAATTTGGGATGATAATATGAACTGTCATAAAATAAATTAAGTAAACTATGATTATTTCGTAAAGCATGAATGAATAAAAGTATAGTCAAATGATTGATTAATAATGATATTAATGTATTTAATATTAGATTGAAAATATGAGATTATATACAATGTAATTGTAATTGAAGACTACAAAATGGAAGCACAAAACAATTTGTAAACCAATTGGCATACTGTATGTATATATATGGAAGATGGCTTGATGTTTTTATGTTTTGTTTGTTTATGTTTGTTTTAAAAACCAATAAAAATGTAAATAAAATAAAATAAAATAAAATTTAATTTAAATGCTCTGTCAAATCTTGTGTCTTTGGAGTTACTTATAAAGTAATAAAGGCAGGATAAAAATCAAATAGAAAAGTAAATTAGTGCTATTTGCCTTCCAGGTCAGCACTTACATATCCTGCACACAGGTATTCATTGTTTTATTCTCTAGAAGTGGAAACTATAAACAAAACCTAAGCTAGAATTATACTTAGATTTGGAAAGTTGGGGGGCCACATTTAGAACATGGTTTGGGTGCAGTTAACAGGCTGGTTTTTTTTAAATCAACCTTTCTTTTCTCTTCATCCTATAGCAAGGGATAAATTTATTTTATGGCATTGCTGAAACACAAGACAACACAAGAGGGAATCAATGCACTTTTTGAATATAATAATATAATAACATTGGTTTCTCTTTTGAAAAAATAGAGCTTGGGGCATGCTAAAATCCACAATCCTGTGAATTTGAAACCAGAAATATTGTTTATGATGATGATCTCATCTCCAAAGTCCAAGAATAAAAGGCTGTGCTAGCTAATTGGACTGTTATATACAGTGTATATAAGCAGTTAAATTAATAGAGAACTCACACTTTCATGAAAATTCATCTCAGCCATTTTTTAAAATTATTTGAAGTGTGGTGAGCCAGGGTGGAAGAATAAAAGAAGTGCTGCAGGGACAACTGATGTTATGTCATGTCAGAGAAGAGAAGACAAGGGAACAAGGAGGATTCTCAATGACATTATTGTACATCATGCTAAAGGTCCTTGGTAATCTGCTAAAGTCACCTCCCATCATGGCATCCAATAGCTATAATGGACTGATCTTCAACTCTGAAAATAAACAGAGGTATTTCAAATATATAGAAGAATGATAATTAGAATGGGGAAGGAGAATGGGCTAAAATCAATTTGATCTGCATTCACACAACACATTTCACCTGGTTATTGACTCGGATGATTTTCTGGTTTTGCCCAATGGGTTGATTAAGTTAACCAAGTGGGATGAATTAACATAGAATTCTAAACTATCACCATCTCACCAAAACAACCCAAACAAAGAATGTTAATGTGTAGGGCAAATGCATATAGGAGATGTTTACCTGGCCTAGTTAAGTATGTTGTGTGTATATACCTAGCATATAAGAGGAAAACAGATCTCAAAGAGTCTTTGACTTATGACCTTGCTTGATGACTTTTGGACATTACAATGTCCAGGCCTCTCTTGCCCAACTGTATTTTGAATGCTGAGCAACTGACCTGCAATTATGGCCATTTGCATCACCCTGTAGTCACATTTCTGTAATCTGTGACGTTTTTGCCAGAAATAGATATTTACTTCCAATTTCTGGCAAAAAATCCCCATAGTGAAAAATGGGTTTTCTTAATGACCATGGTGTTCACTTAAAGACCATGGCATTTGCTTTACAACCATCCCAAAAAAGGTTGTAAAATTGGTCACAGTTACCTGGTAACCCGTTTTATGACTCTCATGATTTACAACCGAAATTGCAGACTCAATTATCAGTCATCAGTCAAGGACTACCTATATTTAAGGCCAGTTAAGTCCTAACTTAAATTTTTAAAGTCTCAGTCATCCAGGTCATAGTTGTCTCAAAGGTGCTTTATACAAAAGGCAACTGGACTGTTTTTTCCAAGGAAGAGGAGGAGGAGGAGGAGGAGGAGGAGGAGGAGGAGGAGGAGGAGGAGGAGGAGGAGGAGGAGGAGGAAAAAGATTCTCCAAAAAGCTTCTTCGGTTCAAACAGGATGTGTGTGTGTGTGGATTGTATTGGCAGTCTTTTAAATTTTTTTTTTTTTAATTTTAAAAACATTATTCGTTACTGAGATAAATATACCTGTTTATCAGCTCCTTACATGGGAAAATGTGAGAACCAGGTCAGAGAAATTAGACTTCCACAGAGAAAACAGCTGCTTCCAAAACTGAATTGATTCATCCCAAGAACAACCAGCCAATGTACAGCAGACAAAAAGCACTGAAACCAGGCCTAAATGTAGAGCTAAGAGCCAATAAAGCCAGTCACACAATACCCATTTCATGTAGAAAAACACTGATCTGATCCAATCTGTAACTCTGCATTGCAGATACTGAGCATGCCTATTTGAAGAGCCATTTTGTTTGTCCTTTACTCTTTCCAAACTACAGGAATCACACTGCATGTTGAATAATGAACAGTTTCAAAAGGTTTTATTGCTAGGTTAATTCCAAAGAGGTAACTACATCACTCCACTGTAATTATAATACACTGGCACGTTTACTGAAGCAGAAATAGTTTTTTTAAAAGCTCCCTATGCCTCCCAATTCCCACTGAACCCTGAAGCTGATCTGATCAAAGCCATCTTGGAGCTTGAGGGTTGCCACACTGCAGCTGAGGGATAGGGAGGCAGGATTAGAGATAGCTGGGGTTTTGTAGCCAAAACAAAATACTTTCTCTTGGGAAACAAGGACAATCTCACACTTGGTCAGAGGAAGGATGAGTGATGTCACCAGGCAACCAGACAGCATCTTGATTGGACCATGTGACCAGGGGTGGGCTTCAAAAATTTTAGCAACTCTGTCTGGTTGTTGGGTGGGCGTGGCCATAGTGGGCGTGGCCTAGTTAGCCTCATGCACCATGGCAGCAGGGGGATTGCCCTCCCTGGGCTCTGGAGGCTTTTCTTGAGCCTCTGGGAGGGCAAAAACCGCCTCCCCGGGCTCCGGAGGCTCTCTTGAAGCCAGAAACAGACCCATTTCTGGGCTTCCTGAAACTTCCGGGAAGCCCACTTTTCGCCCTCCCCAAGCCTCCACTCACACCTTGCTCTTACCTGCATCCAAAACAGGCCGTGTTGGGACTCCTGAGAGGGACAGGTGGGGTGGGTGGGGCCAGCCAGGTGTGGGATTTGGGGGTTCTCCAAACAGCACAGAATCTTAGCTAGGGGCTCTCCCGAACTCCCAGCAGCCCACCCCTGCATATGACAGATTGGGAAGGGGATTTTTTTTTTTTTTTACTTTTAATTAGGTGGAAACCACGGGAACCTTCAGAGCTGGTTTTCACTAATCTGTGCCAATATGACATATCCAATTAAAAAAACCATTCTTTGAGGAGTCTACCTATCTTGGAGTTTTGTATGATGTGGGCATGTTACTTGGAACCCTGACAAGTGAGTCTAGAAGCACTGAGGAGGAAAAGCAACATTTTTGCTATTTGTGTTGTGATGTCATACACACACAGAAAAGGAGTGGAGGTTGCATCCTGACATTGGGAGGTTGCTTTCAGTTTGACACAAGCTTCAGATCCTGTGGAGGTCAGGGTTAGGGTTGCTCTAATTGTCTGGATAAGATTATATTTCAAGATGCCCATTCTCAGTCCTTTTCCAAATGGGCAAGAATTAGATACCCTCAGTGAGAGCAGGGATTGCTTGGCATAGTACATATGTAAATATGTACTAATAGGAGATGCAAAAAAGATTCTTGCTGGAATGAAGGATATTGTGGATGAGAAAAAAAGTCTAAAAGAAAGATACTATTTACAGAGGAAAAAAAATACAACTAGTCTTCAATTTAAAACCACAATAGAGACCAGAAATGTTGTTAAGCAGCATAGTTCTTAAGTGAGGCATCTCATGATATCATTCAATTTTATGAACATTTTTGCCATGGTCATTAAATGAATCACTATGACTGCAACATATGGCTGATGACTTCCCCGTTGACTTTGCTTGTCAGAGGCCAGCTGGGAAAGTCACAAATGGCGATCACGTGACCATGGGACTCAGCTATGATTATAAGTGTGAGAAAGGTGTTCTGTAGTGCCATCCTAATTTTCAACAGTTACTAAACGAATGGTGGTAGTTCAAGGACTACCTGTAGTCACTAAAATGTAGTCAAAGAGCAAGAAATGCTTATTACTTATAGAGGCAGAGAAATACAGCTATTTTGATAGTCGGTGAAAAGGGCTAAACAAGGAGTCTCCATCTGAATGGATTAAATTAGAAGAGATAAAGTTATTTGGGATGAAAGTGATATTTGAGAATGTTAGAATGAGCACATCAAAGATTGATATGGGAATGATAGTGAGATGCCAAAATCTAGAATAAAAATGAAACTATAAATATTAGGTCTCCTTTAAAAGAAAAGAAAAGAAAATCATAAATGCTGTGAGCAAATTGAAAAATAGAAAGTCTTCAGATGTAAATAATGTAATAGGAGAAACATACAGGGTGTAGTTTGCTCAGTGTCTGTCATTCTTTTAATAGAGTGTGTGGAGGACATCTGTGGCTAAAAACTGGAAGAACGTTATTTCATCCTTTACATAAAGGAAAAAGTAAATGTAAAATGTGAATTTAAAAACCATGAAGTGGTTAATTTATTAAAGTTAGATTTTGGCAGAATTTCATTTGAAATTCTAATATGTAAGAATTACATATTAAGGGTTACACCTGTGAAAATGAGGAACATAAGTAACTCCATCTTTATCTGATTACCTCACATGGCTTTGTGTGCATGATTGATTTGGCCATATGTGCTGTTTTCCCTAAGGAGGTACTTCCTCCAGTGAACTGTTGAATAATGATTGGCCATGAGTAGGGATACCCCAGAACAGGAAGCAGTCATTTTGGCAAGAAGCCAAAAAAGTCACTACAAAATAGAGCTGGAAGTTTGTCACTTACTATTTTAAAATATAGGGTGATGCGGTGTTGGATTCATTTTTTTTTACTACCAGTTCTGTGGGCATGGCTTGGTGGGCATAGCAGGGGAAGGATACTGTAAAATCTCCAGTCAGTGGTGGTATTTGCCGGTTCTCCAAACTATTCAAAATTTGCGCTACCGGTTCTCCAGAACTGGTCAGAACCTGCTGAATACCACCTCTGGGGTGATGGAAGTCACTAGTGGCTCAATCCAGGTGAGAGACATTTTGACAAAATGGGGGGGATACCTATCCATCCTCTTTCTATTCCTAATTCCCATGTGAGGCTACAGTGGGTGGTTGAGGACAACTTAGATTACTTACATGTGGTACCTTGCTCAATAGTAGTTACTGTGACAGGGATCTTGGACTCCTAGTGGATAATCATTCAAATATGAGCCAGCAGTGTGCTGCAGCTGCCAAAAAAGCCAACACAGTTCTAGGCTGCATAAACAGAGAGATAGTATCAAGATCACGTGAAGTGTTAATACCACTATATAATGCCTTGCTAAGGCCACACTTGGAATACTGAATCCAGTTTTGGTCACCACGATCTACATAAGGATGTTGAGACTCTAGAAAGGGTGCAGAGAAGAACAGCAAAGATGATTATAGGGGACTAGAGGTTAAAATATCTAAAGAATAGTTGCTGGAATTGGGTATGTTTAGTTTGATGAAAAAAAAGGACTAGGAGTGACATGATAACAGTGTTCCAATATCTCAGGGGTTGCCACAAAGAAGAGGGAGTCAACCTATTCTCCAAAGCACCTGAGGGTAAGACAAGAAGCAACAGATGGAAACTAATCAAGGAGAGAAGCAACCTAGAGCTAAGGAGAAAATTCCTAACAGTTAGAACAATTAATATGTGGAACAATGAGCCTCCAGAAGTTGTAAATGCTCCAATGCTGGAAGTCTTAAAGAAGAGATTGGATAACCATTTGTCTGAAATGGTATAGGGTTTCCTGTCTAAATAGGGGGTTGGACTAGAAGACCTCCAAGGTCCCTTCCAACTCTGTCCAATTCTATTTGGATCATGGGAACACAACAATACAATTATTAGTCAGTCTTGCAGGACTTACAGTAATGAACCAATATTATCTCAATCTTTAATTCGTAAACATGTTTTTCACATCCAGCCCCATATGATGAATGATAATGCTGATAATGGGAAGGAAAGAAGGAAGGAAGGGAATGTATCAGGTTTGTTTACTAAATACTAAATAATAACAGCCTAACTTTAATTATTACTGAATGTTGAACATTTCTAGTTTAGAAAAGTTTGTAATAAATGTTATAATAGCAACAATATAAATATTACCATTGCTTCTAAATTTTTTATCAATTTTATCAATAAACAGAATTAAGAACAGGTTGCCATATGATTTGAAGCTACACAATCTCAACTTGACATTCTTAGATCATTGGCTTCCAAATGTATACTCAGTCCTGCCATGATCAAAACTGATAGCGATAGCAATGAGAAGCAAGGATTTCTAATGGTGGCACATCATTGATTTGTTTTATGTAAGCTGATTGTCGTTAAGCTATTATATAAAATGTCCTTTTATTGACTGTTACTGGCTCCATATGGACTTTTTGTGTAAGAAGGAAAATGATTTTGTAGTTTTGATGATTAGAAAGAATAGGTTATAAAAAGAAGGGAAATATAATGAAATCTTAGAGTGAAAGGTTTGATTAAAATTGTATGTATGAGAAGAAAATTGAAGTATTATGTTTGTTTGTTTTTGTTATATTATTCAAAATATGTTTAGGGATCTTAAGAATCTTATGTATAAATGTTTCAGTAAACGACTGCTGCCTGCTGCCTCATTCAAAGTCTTTAACAAAGTCTTTAACAAATATGACCTCTATTTGTGTCTCTTACTGGAAGGAAGTTGCAAAGAATGAATAACCTAGGTGAGACAGAGAAAACAGTCTATTGTACACAATTATATTGCTATTGTTATTTTTCTTCAGAGTATCCTGCCTTCTGTTGTGCAATATAAATAAATTAACTGAAACATTTTCAAAAAGAACCACTAGGCAGTGCACTAGAATACAAACCCACCAATCTCAACAGGAAAGTGGGACAATCTATTACTTTGTTTTCAGTTTAAACACTGTTGTGTTGTTTTTTTTCCCAAGAAACGGAAGCATTTAACAAATACCTTTACCCATATCATGAATATTAAAGGGTTTTTAATCAAAGGCACAGGTATTCTACTCTTATGACTGGATGCAGTTTAGCTTATCCCACAATTTTGATTGTTGGTTGGTTTCTCTGCAGGTTGATACTTTCATAAGCATTTTAAATGAAACTCAAAACTTCAAATCTGTAAAAAAAAAAAAGTTGCACCCTGATTCTTTAAACTTCTGCTCAGAAACAAATCTCGTGGTTTCACTGGGGTTTTCTTCCTCACAATCACGTTGAGGTTTGTCATCTAAATACCGCATTGCAAAAAGCGTTTTGAGTGACGATTGCTCAAGAGTTAAACCTGCAAAGGCGAGCGAACGGGCCAACCGTTAATTAACACGGTGGGGACCAAAAAAAAAAAAAAACATTTACACGAGCGTTAAAACCATTGACAAAGTTATGCTTGGAATGGTGGCCTCGGAGAATGCAATTTCCTGCATTGCTGCTAGATGCTCCGTTTAAAGACAATTGTGGTGAGCGAGCTGGAGCGAGAGAGAGAGAGAGAGAGAGAGAGAGAGAGAGAGAGAGAGAGAGAGAGAGAGAGAGAGTGAGGGCGAGCGGGAGCGAGCGAGCGAGGGCTGGGCGTGCTTTTGTATGCCATGACGCTGGGGGGAATCGTGGTAAAGAGCGAGGGAACTTCGCTTTTTCAAAGCAAATGAGCTCAGCCACAGTATCTGAGTCAGTTTGGAAGGCAAGTCTCCGCTATCAATAGTTGAGCGTGTCGGCTAAATCCCTGCAGGACAAGAATGAGGGGCAAGATGAAACGACTCATTGCTACGTCAAATGTTTTTATTTCTTCCTGATCTCGCTCTCGCTTTCCTTCGTCAATAATTCACCTTAGGGCTGCCCCCCCCTCTCCCGCCGTAGCTTTTTCCTCCTGGATTCTGGGAGTGGGGGGGTTCAATGGCAAAGAAAGGGGCACCGGGAAGAGCTGATTTGGTCCAGGAGGTGTTTGGAAGCACATTTCCAATAGCTTTTTAAAGGATCCTTCCCTCCAAAATCAAACAGGAGGGAAGATAGACTTTTCCCCCCCACCTCCGCTGGAAATGTTGAAAATTTTCCGAAGAAGCTTCTGCTGCTGCTGTGCTGGTAGCAAGCGGTGTGTGTGTGCCTGTGAGCCTCTGTCTGTGTAAGAGTGGTGATTTTTTTCCCCCCTCCGCTGCTGGTAGGGCTGCTAGAGCTGGCTTTGTGGCGTGGTCTGTGTAAGCGTGGAGAGAGGTGGAAGGAGAGGAACGTTGAGGCGCTCCGCGCAAGGCTTCGCTGTCCGCCGCTCTTGGTTCTGAACATGGGCGCTTTAAGCAGGGCGCTGTCCATGGTGCTCACCATCATCCTTACGCTGGCTCTCTCCGCTCTCCCCGTCTGGGCGCAGAATGACACAGAACCCATCGTACTGGAAGGAAAATGCTTGGTAGTTTGCGATTCCAACCCAGCGACCGATTCTAAGGGATCCTCTTCTTCTCCTCTGGGGATCTCTGTACGGGCTGCTAATTCTAAGGTCGCTTTCTCAGCAGTCAGGAGTACCAACCACGAGCCTTCTGAGATGAGCAACAAAACCAGGATAATCTATTTTGATCAGGTAAAAATAACATAAATGGGTATCTTGCTGTATGTAGAAAGACATCTAATCGTTTCCTACTGACAAAAGGAGCATATGTTTGGAATGGGGAAGTTGGTTTTGCCTGAGTTTTGTTTAAGTTTTTTTAAAAAGGTGATTTCATCCCTGGGAAAGGGACTAGGTTAAAAGTGGAGGGGGAGGCAGCTCCTTACAGTACTGAGATGAGATAGGATAAGGACAGTAGGTGGGAATCAACAGGTAGAGTTGATTTGCAAACTCTTTAATCCTCCTTTGAAAGGAGTGAGCTGAAACTTAGGAATTGGAGACATAAGCTTTTGGTCCATTTAATTGCTCTGTTCAGTTCATAGGTTTTTCCCCCCCTCTTAATATGGATAGCAATTTCACACATGCTTTTCTCTGAGAATGAAGTTATTTTTTTCTATTACTTATTGATTTTAGTTTCTACATTTCCACTTTACATTTAAAGGCACATGGAGGGTTAAATAAGTTCTGGCAGGTAGGACTTCACACACAAAAATTCTGTCTCACATTATAACATAAGTAACAATTTTACTATTCTTGATGTGCTGGAATAAACGAAGTAATACCAGACAATACAGGAATGATTTAATGCTTCAAAGAGGTTAATACTGAGGGAAGACTGTAAAAATCAACTTACTTATGCATCCTTGTACTTTATTCTTGAGAATGTTTACTTAGAAATAGTAATGCATATGATTTTGGTATTTTAATTTAACTTTTATATCCTGAAAAAAATAGTTGGAAATTTGTTAAAGGCTTTAAAGTGGAGAGAGGGGAGATAAAGTGAAGAAAGAAAACCTCAAAATCTCCAGAAGCTCTTCAGTTGAATAGCAACCAGATTTCCCAGCAGCTCAAATCTTTTATGAGTTTTCAAAATCATTCAAATTTTTCAATCTTACATTTTTCAAATCTTTTATGAGGTTTCTGCACCCTACAGAACCTATATCCTACACTGGGCTTACTCTGGTGTAGTTAAATCAGCATGCATTTGACATGGATATAGATAAGATAGTAATGAAACTGACTCAGATCTCACTCGTAAAATATGGAGGCAGTCCTTTGGAAAATTCACTGCACCTTAGTAGCATCACTGCAGAATTTTGCAACCTTGGAAGGACTTTCTGCACTCCTCCCTTCTTCCAAATCCATTCCTGAAGCAGACAATAATAATTCTTCTGGAAAAATAGAAAAATGTATTCCTTTTACTTTCCAAAATATCATATTGCATTTCCAATTTTGATCTAATGCATCTTAATATAATCAATCTATTTCAATAGGAAAACGAAACAAATGTTTCAGTTTTTCTGCTGAAAGTGATGCTGTTTACAGGATGCAATTTTTGGACTATCAAAGATCCATGTTTTGAAGGAGAAGACAGAAAGGCATTGGAGTTATATCATGCCAACTCTGGTTTAAAATCCATGTACTATATCTAATATCCTACCATCAGCTGTTTATGCATTATGTGTGCTTATAGAGCTGTAGATACAGCTGATTCTTGCAAATATTAGCTGAAGGTTTTAATTAAGCTCACTAGTTATTTTTTGTTTTGTTTTTCAAGGCATATTCTTTGACAGGCTGACAGATCTGCATTTCTCCTGAGTGTTAGAGTCCTAGGAATCTTGTAACCAACCCAGTCACATTGTCATTAACCTTTTCAAGGGATCAGAAGTCAGGTGTATATTTAGCATAAGATACATGGGGATAGTGGAAGCACATGACAGCTACCTGTTTCTCAGAGGAAGGAATAGAAGGCAAAAGATCAGTATTTTCCCACTTCTACCCAGATACAAGATATATAAGAGATGACTTTTATAAGTATATGCTTTAATTATATGCATCTCTGCTCTGCTAGCTGTGTACCACTTAAAAATGCCCCACTCTTTCTGCAAAGTTTTAACTTCCTGCTTTCTTATGAGATACCATCCACTTCTTGCCTTCATAAGTTTCATTTACATCTTCACATTCATTACTGGACACATTAGCAAGCATATGTTACTCATTATATGCAAACTATATTGCTTCTGGAATTGTCATGACAACTGAAGTACATCCCTACCCTGATTGATCCGAAAACATATTGCTAAGGTACACTCTGATCCTATACATGTTTATTGAGAAGAAAGTCCAATTGAATGGAGTTTATTCTCCTTTGAGCTCAAAGAAATGTATTTAGGCAGGAGGTCAAATAGATTGGGTGAAGTGGATCAATGATGTTGCTGACATCAAGGCACAGGAGAAGGATTACAACTTGCCTTATGAAAACGACCCAAGTAGAACTTTTAGGGAAAAAAAAATTCTCAAGAGCAAAAGAAGATATGAAGGTATTCTTCCTGTTACCGTATTATCTTTTTAGATGGTAGAGTCATAGAGAATGCAATATTACATTTCATTACTTTTATGATAATATATCCTTATTGTTTAAACAATATATTAGATACAGTTTTTATTGTAATATTAACAATGATTCATCATCTAGCTGTTTGGAAAGTTTAGTCTTGTACTGGATCTGCAGTTTTGTGTTATTCATTTTAATCTTTTAGTGATCTTTATATAATCTAAAGAAACTGTTTTGGACAGGAACATTGATAAATTTATGCTGTAATATTTATTCAGGGACAGAAACATACACACACACATAAACATGGGCTGTATCAGATCAGTGGATGATCTAGTTCATAGATCATACACACACACACAATCCTTTCCCATCCTTTGCAAATAATCAGAGAAGGTTTTCTCTTCCCCTGTCTTCCAGATTATGTCAGGCTACATTTTTGTCAGCTCCTTGTAATCTGATCAGTGGTCAGAGTTTAATGGGTGTTACAGTCAGAAACTTTCAAGGCCATCACATTGAGAAAGGCTGCTGAAGAAAATAGGCCCTATATGCAAAGCACATGTTAGGTGGCTGTAATTCCATCAAAGTTTACTGAGAACTTCAGAGGATGACCTGTTTATGTATAAATAAAGAGTTCAAGACTGTGTAGAATTTAATTGAAAGGCAAACTAAAATGTACAATATACAAAGCGGATATTTCACAGCCCATTACATTTATTTTGAACAGTGCCCTCTGGTAAAAGATAACAGGGCAGAGTTAGAGGGAGATACATACAAAGCTGAATAAAATGATAAAGCAATTTTAAAGGCAACAAATTATGAAAAGCCAAATGATTCTTTAAAAGGTTCAAAGCACAGTCTTAATACATCTAGGGTGGTAGGAGAAGCTGGAAAAGGCATATTATATTAGATTCTCTGATAAATTTGTGGCAGAGATTAGAACTGCATGAGCCATAATTCAGGTTTTTATAAATTCATCTGTATTATATAGAAAGTCCTGGGATTCTACACTTTTATTTAAAAAAGTGATTTAATTAAGTGGGGCTCATTCCTCAGTTAATGGATAGAGGATTGCAAAACTGGCCAGGCAGGTAATAACAATAATAATAAACTGTCAGTATTAGGCACACTGAAATCTAGAAGAAGGTTAGTAAAAAATACATCAGAAAAATGAAAAAAAATTAAGGTTCAAGCTCAGTGGTGGGAATACTCTCAAGGCAATTAATACTTGGATAATTCCAGTCATGAAATATGTAGTTGGAATAATGGATTTGACTCAAACTGAACTAGACGTCCTGAATAGGAAGCCCCCCACCCCAATAATCACAACAAATTATGTGCTTCATCCACACATTGATGCTGCTAGAATCTACTTAACAAGGAACATAGGTAGGCATGGAATGTTGCAAGTACACCAGACAACTGAAGAAGAAAAATGGACATTGGAAAATATTTGAAGAACAGTGAAGAAGATGCACTGAAGGCAGGATATCCTGAAGGCTTACTGAACACCAAACTGGCCCATATGAAAGACCATATGAAGAATAGAAAACAGACATGGCAAAGCAATTATATGGCCGGTATATTTCAAAAAAATAGCAGGAAAATGTGATAACAAGACCTGGAAAGAGATAAGGGCAAAAAAGTTGAAGAAAAAGACTGAAAGGCTAAATCTGGCTGTGCAAGACCTTAAGAACAAACACATACAAAGCCAGGATTGAGAAGGATTGAGCAACAGACAGCAAATGTCATCTCTGCCAAGAAGCTTAATAAAGAGTGGACCACCTAGTTGGTGCTGCAAGAAGATCACACATATTGATTGCTAACAATGACATGACAATGTACCAACAATGGTGCATACAACTTGACTACAAGCAAGAACTGGTAGGACCATAGAATAGACAAAGTAACAGAACATGAAGAAGCTAAAGCGTTCTGGGAATTTATAATTTCAACAGACAAGCATCTGTCACACAACACCCTAGATTTAATAATAATAATAATAATAATAATAATAATAATAATAATAATAATAGAGTTAGGGGGGAGAGATTGGCTCAAGTGTAGCAAAGAACAAAATGCATGTTTCTCTTAGGAACTCAGCTATCATTTTTGTAAGCAATAAGGATTATGAGATTAAGCACAAGCTTAGTGGGAAAGGTGGGGTTTATGTTAAGGTTGTAAGGAATAGACAGAGAAATGGAATGATATTGCTCAGGAAATGAAGACAGGAATTCTAAAGAGTTATACTACTAAACTACATATTTTCCTCAAAAATAGATTTCATTCAAGAATTTTGGTATTGATTTAAAAAATCAGCATAATTACCCTTGTTTTCTTGCATTAAAATTAAGAAATAATTATAGACCTGAGAAGAGAACTATTATCCTTTCTATTTAAAAAAATACCCATCTCAATGTGGGTCTTCTAAACAGAAATGTTGTGTGTGTACAACTTCAGACTATCTGATGTCCACTCTCAATTTGTGTGGAATATTGGAGTCTGCATTCCAAAGTGAGTAAGTTTAAGGGGGAGATGGATGTTTAAACTTATCTGCAAGGCATAAACTGCCTCCTAACCTAACCTGCCAAATCTTCCAAATGCATGGAGACAAAAAAAAAAAATTAACCAAATCAGCTGACATGTCAAACTTCTATTTACTATCCTACCAATTTTGGAAAAGTACTGGAAATTGCAGAACATCTACTGGGGTCACACAGCTGCCAGAATGCCTTTACCACCCACGTCAGCTAAGTGTCTCTGGAAAGTTTACAACAACATAAATAAAAAGACAAGAGGTAGTGGAATTGAGGGTGGAGGGGGAGGGAGAGAAAGAGAGAAGGAGGGAGAGAGAGAGAGACAGAGAGACAGAGACAGAGACAGAGAGAGAGAGAGAGACAGAGACAGAGACAGAGACAGACAGACACACACACAAACACAAACACACACACACACACACACACACAGAGAGAGAGAGTGTCATCCTAAGATCATGAAGAAAGTGTTACTGAGGAATATGCCAAATGATACTTCAATTTTCCTAATGTTAGTGCAATGAACAGTAAAACAAATTGATTGCAATTAAACTGAGTTATAAAAATAGTTGATATTTTTTTCATAGATAGAGTTGGTATATGGCCACCCAAATCCAGTTGAACCAAGTTCAACTTTATATAACTGACCCATGGTCATCATTAATACCTAACAAATTGATTTCTATATTGATTTCTTTTGGAATGACTATTGTTTAAAACTGATAACATGTCAAGATTCCAAATGCTAACAGATGATCGGAAATACAAATCCCTTTCATAGCAACAACAGATATTTGCTCTCAGTCAAACAGGACAGGTAGGTGAATATTTTGCTGTGCTAGAATTACATAGAGAAGATAATGGACGTGATTTAACATTAGAGTGCAGTGGTGCAATGGTTAGACTGCAGTACTGCAAGCTATTTCTACTGACTGCTGCCTGCCTGAAATTTGGCAGTTCAAATCTCACCAGGCTCAAGATTGACTCAGCCTTCCATCTTTCCGAGATGGGTAAAATGTGGACCCAGATTGTTGGGGTCAATAGACTGACTCTGTAAACTGCTTAGAGAGGGCTGTAAAGCACTGTAAAGCAGTATATAAGTCTAAGTGCTATTGCTATTAGCATTTTGAGGGAAAATGTCTAAAACCACAAGACTAGAGCTAGTCAAGAATTTATTCAGTTTAACTTCTAGATCCTAAAAACACTGTTCATAACAGTTTACATTCCAGCATCAGCTTCCATTTTAATATTATCATGGGCTATAGAAAAAAAGAAAGCTATTATTCACTTCCCAGAGCCCCTCCTGAGGGAGATGGGCAGTTAAGAAGTTTGATATATAAATAAATCATCATCATCATTGCAGCAAAAATCATATGAAGTAGCAAGCCATTCGAGAAATGATAAACTATAAATCACCATATTCAACCAAAGCTAACATGTTCCAATGAAAATGAAGGGATTGGAAAAGGTATATCAAGGAAGAGGGAAAGAAGAATGGAAGTTGACTGAAGCTCCCCTAAGGAAGAATAAGCAACACATTACCAAAACCTTGCTGTCATCTTTGTTTAATGACCCCATATTCCCTTGAGGTGGAGTCTGGGCAACTGAATGGAGCTAGTAGTATATTTAATGGCTGGATGCTCTTCCTGTCACCAATGCAGAGTTTTGTTCAGCGGATATATTCCCATTTTGCCCAGAGAGAGAAATATCTGCTTCTAACATCGAACTCACAGCCTCTTGTGAGGCGAGAGCTCCACCTCTAGGCCACTGCACCACTCTTCTAAAAACCTTGCTGTGCTCCTTCTGAAATCTAATTGAAGTCAAAGAAAGACTTCATTTGATAATATAAAAACCTAGGGAGGCACTTAAGCTACAACCCAATCTCAGAAGGGATGAAATTATGAAGTTCCTTCAAAAGATTAGACACATTTCAGTTAAATAAAAATAAGAGACTTTACTGTCCTGTTCAAGAATGCAGCGCAGATTATCAAGCACATAAAAGCAAAGCGGTGATTCTTTTTCTATCATGATCGATATGGCTGAAACATGCCTGAGATTCTGTGTATTGTACCCAAGCACAATAAAGGAGATCCAGTTATTGTCAGCAATTGAAAGCCTGGAATGTATATTTGTCATAGGTTCTATAGTACCTGCAGTTGGTCCCCTGCATAATAATCTCTTACACTTAAGCTGCTTAAAAAGGTTCTACATAAATTTTATTTATTTATTGCATCTATATCCCACCTTCTTTCTGAGACCTTAAAGTGGTGAACCCTTATTTTAATGTAGGATTGGCAGTGTGCAGCTTGAAAACTACAGATAGCCATTTGAAATCCTTTGTGGGTTATCTAGAACCATGATGGCACAGTGGTTAGGATGCAGTATTTCAACTACCCTCAAAACGATGTTATAGAGCACTGCACACCAGAACAACTAGACACAAGAACAGGTTTTTTTACCAAATGCCATCACTCTGCTCAACAAAATAATTCCCACAACACTGTCCAACTATTTACTAAGTCTGCATTACTATCACTATTAATCTTCTCATCACTCATTACCCACCCCCTCCCACTTGTGACTGTATGACTGTAACTTTATTGCTTGTATCCTTACAATTTATATTGACTGTTTCCTAGTATGAATTGATTGCCTATTTGTACCCTATGACTATATTAAATGTTGTACCTTATGATTCTTGATGAATGTATCTTTTCTTTTTGTGTACACTGAGAGCATATGCACCAAGACCAATTCCTTGTGTGTCTAATCACACATGGTCAATAAAGAATCATTCATTCATTCATTCATTCATTCATTCATTCATTCATTCATTCAGTATTGCAGGCTAATTCTGCTCACTGCCAGGAGTTCAATCCTGACTGGCTCAAGGTTGATTCAACCTTCCATCCTTCCAAGTTCAGTAAAATGGGGATCCAGATTATTGGGGCAATATGCTGACTCTGTAAACCATTTAGAGAGGGCTGTAAAGCACTAGAGAGTGCTATATAAGTCTAAGTGTTATTGCTACTGCTATCTAACCATAAGTCCTCAACCTCATTTCCAGCTAATTTGAAATGGAACCATTCAGAAACTGTACTGTAAACTCTAAAATAGCCTGTGCCCAATTTAAAACAAAGAAATGGATCTGCAATAGCAACAACAACATGCAGTGCTGCCTATTTTACATTATCACCTTACCCATTTCAAAGTTAAGTGGGGATTCTCCAAGCCACCAAATGTGGGAATTTTCCATGACACAATAAGATATAATCATCCTTCCCACTGAGATGAATGGATAATCTGTTTCCAGCTGAGGACAACCATAAGAACATTGATGCTCATATAGTTCATGACATGTAATTTGCTCTCTTAGGAATAACTCCATGTCATGAGCGCATCCTGGATCTATATGCATGGTGAAAGAAGAGTGCAAAAAATGTGGAAGGAAATAAGGCATGAATGAACAGTGCTAATTGTGCTTCTCTCTCTCTCTCTCTCTCTCTCTCTCTCTCTCTCTCTCTCTCTCTCTCTCTCTCTCTCTCTCGTCTGCCCGCACATCCATCCATCCATCCAACCCTATCTACCTATCTACCTATCTACCTATCTACCTATCTACCTATCTACCTATCTACCTATCTACCTATCTATCTATCTATCTATCTATCTATCTATCTATCTATCTATCTATCTATCTATCTATCATCTCTGTCATATAAAAATTTCCTTCTTATTCCTATAGATGTATGTGTCTTCCTCCATGTTGAGTCCTCTATCAGTGGCCTTGGAGTTTGAGGGTTCTTACCATAGCTGTTCCTAACTTTGCACTATTCTGAACAGAGAGCTCCAAGGTTCTTGAGATCAGTTGGAACCTCTCTCCCATCTTAGGAGTCACAGCCCAAATGCTCATACTACCACTGGGACCACTTTGATCTTTATATTCCATTTCCTTTCTAGTTTCTCCTTCAGATCCTGATAGTTCTCCAGCTTCTCATACTCCTCCTTCCTAATGTTGCTGTTACTTGGCACTGCAATATTCTGAATGGTTGGTTCTCCATCCATGGTTGTAGGGAACGGTACTTATTGGGAACCATGGATTTGGATCTGAGCACATTCAATTCAATGTAGCAAATGCCTGGTACTGTGCCATCAATAGCTGAAGTGTTCTCATTCATTGGCCAAATAATCTTGAAGGTCCAGAAGAGTTGTAAAGCTTCATCCACTTGCTTATGTGACAAAAGTTTGTGGGCAGCTGTTTATTCAACAGTTGACATTCATTGTGCTTCTGTTTGTATCTACCTGGCTTCTTTGGTGAGGCTTAAATAACAAAACAACTTGAAGATTTGTGCTACAAATGTTTTTTTTTTTTTAGCTATCTAAGTAATTCAATTCCATGAGATGACTCACCTGCTTGCAACCCAGCAGGAATTGTAGTGGAACTGAGCAGCATCTCAGCTAGTTGTACAAAAATATGTCACATGACTCTAAGTATGCTCAGAAATAGGTTCCTGTTGCTTTCAGTAATGCTTAGTCTGAGCTAAGCATGTGGAGAAGTTAAAGAATTTGACAAAAGAATTTCTATACCTTTAATTGAAAATAAGTGGGTTTTATTCAGATAATAATAGCACACATTACATCTTATTATGAGGATGTTGGAAGTACAATTAGATTATTTGCATACACTTTGGTGTCAGATGAACAATGTGCAAAACCTGTAATTAAACTTGGGTTCATTCAAAATAATTATTTCATTGTTTTCCAGAACTTGGAATGCTTCCATTAATTACTGGTTTCTTTTCTTTTATTTATAGATCCTAGTAAATGTGGGCAATTTCTTTACATTGGAGTCTGTGTTTGTAGCACCGAGAAAAGGAATATACAGTTTTAATTTTCATGTAATTAAAGTCTACCAGAGCCAAACAATTCAGGTATGTTGAATTAAGAAATAGTATTTGAGGTTAGTGTGGTTAATGTTTCCTTCAATCTTTCCTTCTTTCTTTCCTTCTCTTTCTTTTTCTTTCTTTCTTTCTTTCTTTCTTTCTTTCTTTCTTTCTTTCTTTCTTTCTTTCTTTCTTTCTTTCTTTCTTCCTTCCTTCCTTCCTTCCTTCCTTCCTTCCTTCCTTCCTTCCTTTCCTTTCCTTTCCTTTCCTTTCCTTTCCTTTCCTTTCCTTTCCTTCCTTCCTTCCTTCCTTCCTTCCTTCCTTCCTTCCTTTCTTCCCCTTCCTTCCTCCCTCCCTGTTATATTTATATGGCATATCAGCTTTAGTCTAAAAGCATCATGTTGTAAATTACAAAAATATAATAAAGAATACAATATAAACATGAATGAAACAATAGGGATAGCTGCTGTTCAGAAAGATTAATATCAATAGTTTTTAACACAGAAATCAGTTTACAGGCATACATGCCCATTCTAGATATGGCAGCTTGTTCAAAATGACCAAGTTGAGTTTCATGTCACAATTTCTTCATAACTCACTCATCAAAGAGCATCAAATACCAGGAATGCAATTCAGCCAAAATTAAGTTGGCACTGTACTCTTTCTAGAGTCTCAACATCTTTTATATCATGGTGACCAAAGCTGGATGTAATATTAAGTGTGGCCTTAACAAGGCATTATAAAGTTGAACTAATACTTCACGTGATCTTGAAAAGCAGTACATACAGGAAATATGGGGAAATATTTTATAAAACATTGTCCAGAGAGAATGTCTATATCTAAAGCCATCAGACTCCAAAAACTTAGAAAGATCTGTTGAGATTCTTGTAAGCAGTTTCCTTTTTTGTTCTTCACCTATAGACAGACATCTTGCCAGACTAAAGTAGACTACATGCACCTTAAAACATATACTCTGGAAACTATTAGGGAGCAGCTGTCTTCACCCTCTCTCTCCCACACAAACTATCTAAAATTGCACTTTTCTTGATCCTCTGAAGTGTACTCCTGCCTCCTTTGGGAATTCAGAGAACATTCCATTACGATATCAGTGTGTTATTTCTTTTTGTAGCTCTGTACAGTCACCTGGGTAACTATAAGATCTATGGAAACTCCCATAATTCTTAACAATGGCCAAGAGGACTGGGAAATTTTGGGAGTTGAAGTCCATATATGTTAATTTTTACAAAACACTGGTTTATAGGAACAGATGTAAATAATAAAAGGCCACCCCAATGTATATAACTTACACAATTTGGAAAACCTCAATACAATAACAGTGGCAATAGTACTTAGACTTATATATCACTTTACAGTGCTTTACAGTGCTAACCTCTCTAAGCGGTTTTCAGAGTCAGCATCTTGCTCCCAACAATCTGGGTCCTCATTTTACCCACCTCAGAAGGATGGAAGGCTGAGTCAACCTTGAGCCTGGTGAGATTTGAACTGCAGGCAGCCAGCAGTCAGCAGAAGTAGCCTGCAGTACTGTACTCTAACCACTGCACCACCGAAGCTGAAGACATATTTTAAATGCAGATTTTAAAAGTTTAAAATGCAATGTTAAAATCTGAAATGCTATGGAAAAGAGGTAGATCTTTAGCTGCAAAAGCTGCAAATTGCCAAACAAACTTCCTGGAATGAGTGGTAATCTAGAATGCCATAGCTTAGAAGAAATTCTACCTTTGTGATCATTGGCCTCATTTCACTGACAAGTGTTATTACAATAGTTTTGCCAAAGAATCCTTAAGTGCTTGAGTGCATAGATAACTATGGTTGGGAACATTCCTTTAGTCTCACTGGTCCTAAATACTTGTAGTCTTTATAGGTCAGCACCAAAACTTTGAATTAGAGCCAGAAATGGACAGGAAATAATTGGGGCAGAACTGTGATGGTATAGCAAGTTTGCATGAAATGTCTTTGGACTGTGATAAATATTCTCAAGAAAGAATTGTTAAGCAAAGATATGTGGGGTTGAGTCATAACAAATCTATAGCAATGGACCCGAAATTATGATAGAACATAACATTAGGACTTCAGATAATTTCCCTTGAAATAGGAAGATAGCTTTCTAAGATGATGTCATATCATCATCTCCTTTTAACGACCTCATAATCCCTTGCGGGGTGGAGTCTGGCTAACTGAATAGAGCTAGCGGAGTGTTTACTGGCCAGATGCCCTTCCTGTCTCCAATGCCAAGTTCTGCTCAGCAGATATATTCTCAATGTGCCCTGAAAGAGAAATGTCTGCTTCTACCTAGGATTGAACTCACTAATCAGCCTCCTAATTGTGAGGTGAGAGCCCGACCTCTAGGCCACCATACCACTCCCATCTAAGAATATGATTTCTAAGATGATGTCACATACTTTTGTATATTTAGAAGGCACAAAGGGATACCATGTTCATGAAGTTGATTTGTTTTGACCCCTGACCAAAATGAGTTGCCCCCAGAAGTTGTGGATTAGGGTAAGGGTTAGAAAGCATTTTTCTGAAATGGTATAGCGTTTCCTGTTTGAGCAGGACTAGAACACCTCCAAGATCCCTTTCAACTCTGTTGTTCTGTTGGCTACTCATGTGTAGTCCATTGTTTTCCAGGAGCCACAAAGTTATAAAGGCAATGATTAGACTTTGAGGGACTACTAGAAGTTTTTTGTGTGATGATAGTTTAAAAGCCTCTTTCACTTCTACTTCAGCATCATTGTAGATGATAAACATCACAGTGAAAGACATACTAAATACTAGTTGTGGGCTTTGCTTTTAAACTCCTTATATTTCTGCAATATATATTTTTACTGCCTCTTTTAAAAAAACCAAGATGAGCTATGATAAGGAGGTGGAATGGCATCTGGGGAAATGAATGGTCAACAGAGCATGCCTCTCCTAGGCTTATAATGCCTATCTTCATTTCACTGAATATATTACTGCAATAGCTCGAGAGCAATTCCGTTGTAATCTGCTCCTGCATTGCCTGAGCTCATGAGTTTACAGCCTATGCCTCAGAAATTGTGAGAGTTGAAGTTAGCAAGGCATGAAGCCTGGAAATAGAGAATTCCTTTATGAAAGCATTATGCAGGTGCCCATAACAACCAATTTTGAGAAAAGAGTGGGTTCTCTTCTTTGCAACGGGAGGAAGAAATTCAGGTTTTATGAATAATATATACATACATACATACATAAATATATATATTTTTATAAATATATATATATATATATATATATATATATATATATATATATTGTTAAGTTTTCGCGGGTACTTACATGTATCGCGGGTACTTACATGTATGGCGTTCGGCTTTGTTCGGGTATTTTCCCACATCATTGTAGTTGTTCTTTTAAAGTTGTAGCAACGTTTCAGCAGAATCTCATCTGCCATCATCAGGCTTCTGTATAGTGTTAGTCTGTGAGTCAGACTTTTACAGTGGTTTCAGATTTAAATTTGGGGCAGCCTATTGCTGTGCCGGAATGGTTTTTTCTTCATCCTGATTGGTTGGGAGTCTTGGTCTGTGTTTATTGGTCTCGGAGTTTGCTGTGTTCTGCTTGATTGGTGTCTCTAATATCTTCTGTCTGTTTTTTGGCTCTTTTTGTATCTTGAATGGCTGGCAGCATTGTGTTACTTTATTGGAGGCCTTTAGTGCAGCTTGGCTTCGGGTAAATGGATGGCTATCATTAGTTAGGAAGCTGGGTTTCATCTGGGTGCCTGGTTGGGGTGTGTTTGAGCTGGAGGTATCAGGGGGGATCTGTTTGTGCCCAGGTGTTTGCCTGGCTTGTGGTGTGGAGATTTTTTTGTTTGTGAGTGCAGGCTTCCGAATGATTGACAGCCTGGTGGAATCATCTCTTCTATTCATGCTTTCTGGTCTTTTTTCAATCTCTATGGCTTCTCTGATGATTCTGTGGCTAGGGTTTTCTATAGTGGCTAGGGTTTTGGTGCCATTGAAGTTGATGCTATGACCTGTGGCTTCCATGTGTTGGACTAGTGAGGAGGTGTGTTCCAGCTTTTTGACTGCATTTTTGTGTTCATCCAGGCGGGTACTTATTCTTCTATTGGTCTGTCCAATGTATGTGGCTGGGCATGATGCACAGGGGACTTCGTATATGCCTTGGTTTTCCAGGTCAATTTTATCTTTGGGGTTGCTAAGGATGGCTGCTATTTTTCTGTCTGTTTTGAAGGCAGTCTTGATGTGATATCTGTGTAGTACCTTACTAATTTTGTCTGTAGTACCTCTTATGTAGGGCAGGACAGCTGTTCCATAGGTCTGTTCATCTTCTGGGTCTCTATTATGTTTCAGTGTGTTTTTGGGGATCAAGCTGGTGATTTTGCTTTTGTGGAAGCCGTTGGCTGTCAGTACTTTAGTCAGGGTGCATAGTTCAGTCTTTATGTGTGTCTTGTCTGCCAGGCGTTTGGTTCTGGTAGTTAGTGTTTTAGCCACGGAGTTTATCTGTGCTGGGTGGTGGTGGGATTGGGCGTTGAGGTAGCGGTTAGTGTGTGTTTTCTTCTGGTATACGGTGTGTCCTAGTGTGCCATCTGTTTTTTTTTTTGTAGATTAGTACATCTAGGAATGGTAGTTGTTTGTTTGTTTCCGTTTCCATGGTGAACTTGATTTTGGGGTGTGTGCTGTTTAGGTGTGTTAGGAAATTGTTTAGGTTTTCTTTTCCATGGGGCCAAATCACAAATGTGTCATCGATGTATCTTAACCATAGTTTGGGTTTGTGGATGGCATTGGCCAGGGCTCTGGATTCGAATTCTTCCATGAACAGGTTTGCAATGACGGGTGACAGTGGTGATCCCATAGGGGCTCCTTCAATTTGTTTGTATCTTTGTCCTTTGTATATGAAATATGTGTTGGTTAAGCAGTGTTCTGTTAGTTCCATGAGGTGTTTAGCTGGTTGGTATTTATTTTTGATGATTATATCTGTGTGTGTGTGTGTGTGTTTTCTTAAGTTTTCACGGGTACTTACATGTATGGTATTCAGCTTTGTTCGGGTATTTTCCC